TCTATGTAGCACAAAACTTTAGAGGCATGAATTTTCAAATGTCAAATATTCAACATCTAGGATTTAACAAAAACATCTTTTTTCAAGCTTATTGCATTGATGATTGATTCACTCACCATTATAATTAGCAAAAGTTACAAAGTATAAATCCAAGTGCTTAAAAATATAGTCAATTATATTACACAATTTTTGACAACACATTGAAAAAATCTAGTGAATACTCTATAAAGCCATTATAGAGCTTCTGATAATATGAAACTAAGAAAACAAATCAAAATTATTTCTATAAAAAACTAATTAGAACAAAGGTTTAAAATTGATCTCTGTGAGGGCTTTCACTTATAATTGCAAACCTATATCAACCTTCACATATGAGAGGGGATAGTCCATCAAGTCATGCACATTCTTAGAATCAACAACAAGTTTGACTATAGACTGTTCAATGGTCAAATTAAGGCTAGCCATGGCAAAAAGTAAGATGTCTTCAATAGCTTGCTATGGAGACTCTTTCTATGTTGGATGCCTAAGCATAAAAATTTTGACCAAATTTTTTCTTTTTTTGCGTAGACTCTATCATAGTAGGAAATAAATTAATTTCCAAAGTTGCAAAAGGAGGTCTAGTATACTTTGGAATGAAGGATATGATATATTGATATAAGAAGAAGGAATAATTGTATTGTATGTATAGAAAGATAGGATTGTTGACAACCAATAAAAAGTTGGGATATTTGGGAGTGCATTTCAAATGAGTATAATGAATATAGGCATGTCAGTGGGAGGTTGCAATGTTTGTTAATGACAAAATGGAGCTATATAAAATACAATGTGGGTAAGTGAAAAGGTATCTATGCACAAGTACAAAATGTTTGCAAAAGTGGCATAAGTACACTCAATACCTTGAGGCTTATATATAAGTTCTATAAGCAAAAGAGTTAAAAGGGAAAATTTTTTGGATACAAACATTATTGGGTTTTAATGAAAGGACATCCAAAATAGGCTGATAGGTGGTTGTAGGTGAAGCCTCCAACTTTGAAGAAGAAGGCACCTATATAATTTGCCTCAAAGAGTCATTGCATTAATAGGATGGAAAAAAATGTAAGCCAATTAAGTGAGATGAAATGAAAGTAAAAACACACAAAGATTATAGATATAGAGAGGATATTCAGGATCAATCATGGATTACTAAGACAACCAAAAACAACTAGATGCAAGCTTGTCAAGCTTGAGAAAATACTCAAATTAAAGCTTGTCAAAGAAGAAAGATTTGTTAATTCATTTGGCACGCTTCTCAAGCTTGAGCAATCACTCAAATCAAGTCTTGTCAAAGAAGAAAAATTTGTTAATTCATTTGGCAAGCTTGTCAAGCTAGAGCAACTACTCAAATCAAGTCTTGTCAAAGAAGAAAGATTTGTTAATTCATTTGGCAAGCTTGTCAAGCTTGAACAATCACTTATGATAATTTCTTCAAAAGAAGAAAGATCTGTTAAGTCATTTGGCAAGCTTGTTAAGCTTGAACAACCACTCAAATCAAGACTTATCAAAGAAAAAAGATTTGTAAATTCTTTTGGCAACCTTGTCAAGCTTGAGCAACTATTCAAATCAAGTCTTGTCAAAGAAGAAAGATTTGTTAATTCTTTTGGCAAGCTTGTCAAGCTTGAGCAACCACTCAAATTAAGTTTTGTCAAAGAAGAAACATTTTCCAATTCATTTGGCAAGCTTGTCAAGCTTGGAAAACTATTCAAATCAAGTCTTATCATAGAAGAAAGATTTCTTAGTTCATTTGGCAAGCTTGTCAAGCTTGAGCAACTACTCAAATTAAGTCTTGTCAAAGAAGAAAGATTTGTTAATTCATTTGGCAAGATTGTCAAGCTTGAGAAATTACTCAAATTAAAGCTTGTCAAAGAAGAAAGATTTATTAATTTATTTGGCACGCTTCTCAAGCTTGAGCAACCACTCAAATCAAGTCTTGTCAAAGAAGAAAGATTTATTAATTCATTTGGCAAGCTTTTTAAGCTTGAGCAACCACTCAAATCAAGTCTTGTCAATGAAGAAAGATTTGTAAACTCTTTTGGCAAGCTTATCAAGCTTGAGCAACCACTCAAATCAAGTCTTATCAAAGAAGAAAGATTTGTTAATTTTTTTGGCAAGCTTGTTAAGCTTGAGCAACCATTCAAATCAAGTCTTTTTAAAGAAGATAGATTTGTCAATTCATTTGGCAAGCTTGTCAAGCTTGAGCAACTACTCAAATCAAATTCTTCCAAAGAAGAAAGATTTGTCAATTCATTTGGTACGCTTGTCAAGCTTGAGCAACCACTCAAATTAAGTCTTATCAAAGAATAAAGATTTATGAGTTCATTTGACAAGCTTGTCAAGCTTGAGCAACTACTCAAATCAAGTCTTGTCAAAGAAGAAAGATTTGTTAATTGATTTGGCACGTTGGTCAAGCTTGAGTAACCACTCAAATCAAGTCTTCTCAAAGAAGAAAGATTTGCTAGTTCATTTGGCAAGCTTGTCAAGCTTGAGCAACTATTCAAATCAAGTCTTATGAAAGAAGAAAGATTTGTTAATTCATTTGGTAAGCTTGTCAAGCTTGGGCATCCAATTATATCAAGTGTTTTTAGAGAAATTACGGTTGTCCATTCTTTTGACATTATATTTAAAGTTTTTTTATCAAGTAAACTTATGTTTGTTAAATTTTTAAGGTTCTTGAAGCCTTTTTGTACTATATTTACTTCAATAGATCCATCTAAATCAAGACTTATTAATGTACTAGTTGTAAACAATGTTATAGGTAGTGATTCACCAAAAGTAAATCCTATTAGACTCAATATTGTCAATTCTTCAAATACTTTCCAAAATTCTTTGTTGCATATTACAAAGGATAACTTTATTTTGTTCATATAAAGATAATAATAATGATTTCTTCTTAGTAACAAAAATTTTAACTTATTTGCATTTTCTACCAATAACATTAATATTTCAAAGACATCTTTACTTTGTTGTTCATCAATGTTACATATAAGAATTCGTAATGAAAAAAAGTGTAATCCTTTCATAATAAACCTTCTTAAGATGTCTTTCATATTATTATCAAGAATTATACCTTCCCACTAATCAACATGACAAGAGAATAATTAGAAATCACAATCCATAGCTTTATCAAGTACTTCAACTATGTACAAATTTCCAAGTATTTCCTATTGCAACACACAAGTTTTGTAATAATGTTCTTAATAAAAATTCAAATGTCTTCTACTCTATTTTTCTTAAATATTTATTTTATGTCAATAATTGTATTCAAGTTAGTCTACCACTATTTGAAAGTCTTATCTTTGTTGTTATTCCATGCATTGGCACCATATTTGCATTCCAAATTCGTGTGTCTTTGTATTCTTTTTCTTCTTCAACAATCTTTTGTCCCATATCTTGTAATTGATCATGCACTTTTATTACTCCATTTTTTTCTACTTTTATCATTGATTGATGAACCAACATATCCAACACATTACTTACATCTTGCTCTTCAACTCCACTTTTCTTATTGGTCCATATTTGTATTATAGTCTCTTTCATTGTACCACCCCATTTCACATTGTTACAAAAGAAACAACATATGTCCAAAAATATATTCTTTTCCTCAACTTTCATGACATCAAAAATTATCTTCAAAATAGTCCATAGCTTATATTCACTATCTATTTCATCTCCATCCAAAGATCTTCTTCTTAACTTTTGCAAAGCTCTTTCCCAACATCTCAACCTCTTTTGTCCTCCTAAAAATGATCCCAAAACCTTCAAACTCAAGGGTAGGCTGTTACAAGTTGTTACAATCTCTTTGCCAATGCCAATAAGTTCTTTAGGCAATTCATCACCATCTCTATAAGAATAAGCTGTAAACAACTTCAAACTTGCATCTTTGTCAAGTTCTCCAATATCAAATTTATGAATCTTTGTAGGGTAGCTTTTTACCACCTCCCAATTTCGAGATGTCACAATTAATATGCTACCTTTGTTAGAACATAGAACATCCATAGATACTATATCATTGGTTTGACTCTAGTCCTTCACATCATCTAAGACCAACATGAACTTTTTGCTCATCAATACTTCTTTCATCATAGCTTGTGCTTCTTCTAAACTCCTTGGTTTTGATTCAAAGTTTAGTTGATTCTAAACTTTACAAATTATTGAAAGACCACTATCCTTCTTTTGAATACCTTCAACAAAGCATGATACATTGTATATGTGCTGCATAGTATCAAATGTAATCTTTGCTAATGTGGTCTTTTCAATTCCACCCATACCAATAAAACAAAATGTATTTATTTCATTCTTGCATAATTGTTTGATGTTTGACAAATGCTATTCTACACCCATTATAGTATCTTTACAATAATGTATCTATGAATATAATTAAATCAAGTTTTTAACAAAATATATAATTCATGCCATAGTTTCTAAAAGAACAATCTAACCACATATTCATATTTTGATAAAATAACTTCATTAAATTACACATATTTTTTAATGTGTAAATCTTGAAATCAAACAAACCAATGCAACATTTATATAACACCAAATCTCTAATATAAAACTTACCAATGTATCATCAACATGAACATCTTTTGATTTACTTCTTTCAAGATCTTTCTTAAATGCTCCAAAATGAGGTATTTTGGCTATATTAATTCCTACCAAGTATTTTTTCTTCAATGTTGTGAGTCTCTTGCAAATGTCCCCAAAACTAGGTCTTCTAGAAGGATTCAAAGTCCAACATTCTTCAATCAATTTATTCAAACCATCATAATTTGAAGGCAATTGAGGTCTTTCACCTTTCTCAATCTTTATCAATAATTCTTTTTTAGTATTGATACCATCAAATGGATCTTCACCTGAAAGAATCTTATAACATGTCATTGCAAAAGAATATACATTTACTTCAAAAGCACATATCTTTGTTGATTCCATTGTACTTTTTAATATCTCTGGAGCTATGTATCTTAAAGTCCCATACAAATGTGTATTTTCTTTAACTTTTGGATTCCTACCCACATTGATCTTTGAACAACCAAAATCAATCAACTTCACAACAACATAATGAAAACCATTACCAAATTTACCATCATCTATAAAATTAAGTAATATATTATCAGGTTTTAAATCTTGATGTGCAATTTGCATGTCATGTAGATAACACATTTCTCTTGCAATTTGATAAATAACATCAATAAGAAAGTATTATGGCATTATTCTTTTTGCCTCCAATATGTTGCTCAAACTTGTTTGCATCAATTCCATCACCAAGTATACTTTTTCTCTTGAATTATTCATCATTGAAGACTCACCATTCTCACTTGCATTACTTTTGGTAGCATAATAATATTTGATCAAGTTTGGATGGCTTGAGATAGCCAAGATATCTACTTCTTTCATGAATATATCGTTCAAACTAGCATCCATTATTTTTGTTGCACTTGCAAGTCTAAACCACTTAGATTCATAAACTTCTCCATATGAACCCTCATTTATGATTCTCCCAAGCTCTAAACTTTTGATATCACTTGATACTTCCAAAAAATCCATCTCTCCACCATCTGCACGCCACAAGTTCCTCAATCTTGTTGATAGATAGTTTGCCAATTCACAATCTTTAAATTGAACATCTTTACTTTTATGGTCCAATCTTTTGAAAAGTTCTATACTATCTTGTTTAACTTCTTCACGAGTTGAAACATCAAACAATACAAGTGGAATATCCTCCATCTTTTTTGAACACTTCTTTGATAATAGATCAATTTTCACATCATAACAAGTCTTCAAGTCCCATAATAACTCTCTAAACATTTCTTTGTTTTCCATTTGAAGGATACTTGCTTCACACCATTGTTCTTGTGCATAAGCTTTTATCAACTTGTATATCCTCAATTTTATATACTGAAATTCACAAAATAAAATTTTATACTCACTTCTTCCATTCCAACAAGCTCTTAAGACTTCAAATACTTTGATAACACCACCAAGTGGTTGGCAAATATTATCACATTTTTTTTTATTCAATACAACTTTAGTCATCAATAACACCTCCATTTCTTGATTGGAATTATAGCATTGAGTAAGCACATCTCCAATATCAACTTCTCTTGCTTTGAATACAACTCCAATATCCTCCACAAACTTGTTACTAAAATTCATAGTAAGTGCAAATCCAAATGTACAACAACCAAATAAAAACCTCCACATTACTAAGACATGCTTCATAACCATCTTTACAAGATAGGCCATTGCAAATATTTGGAAAACATGTATAATTCACCTTCAATCACATGAATAAAACCTTAGTGCATAATTTACAATATTTCAATAAATTTTAATCACCAAAAAATTCAATGTAACAAAGATATGTGTAAAGTTTATATGAATTTAAACTATTACACATGCTTCATATTAATAAACGTTATGTAGACTAAATAAATCTCTATTTATATTTGTGATTCTTTTTTATAATTTTTTCTTAATTCTTATTATTTTCTATATAACAAATATTTCTACATATATATATATATATATATATAGAAAATAATACATAAACATTCATCTCAAACATCTTGTAATCTACACAAAATAAATATCAATGATGTACATACTTTGAAATAAAACTAGCAATGGATTCTTGAGTATACTCTTTTGCTTACTCATACAACCATAGATTTTTCAAATGTTCTTTGATTGCCACAAAACCTTCACACAAAGACAACGTATATGTTAACAAAATTGATTAATATGTAAACTATTACACATGCTTCATAAAAACAAAATTGATTCATATCTTTGATAAACATTAAACTAGATCATTTTCTCAACATGCCATCCATCTTTCAATAATTATCTAATAACACTAATTCTTATTATACATATGATATGCCATAATATTACTCTATTTAAAATGATATCTAATCCTCTAATTAAGTTTATAAGTTTTTTTTTTTTTTCAATCTCTTATGTTTCCTAAATCATTCATTATACAAATGAAACATATTAAGTAATCAATCAATAAAAAGTCCACCCTTTTATAACAAATAGCTCAATAGACATTCCTAAATAAATAAGTTTGAAGATGTTCTCACCATATTCCAACTTGAAGAACTCTTCCGTCCTTTAAAGCACTCCTATCTCACAATCCGATGGCACACAATCCTAGCCAAGATACAATTGTGATATGTTGTTTAATGCATAATCAAGTCATCTTCTTGCCAAGTCAAGTCACCTTCAAGTCACCTTCTTGCCAATCAGACTTCTCCTAGATTAACATCATAACTTACAGTATCTACAATATTCAATCTTCTTAAAAAACCCAAAACCTCTCAATCGTTCACGGGCTTGCATTGGATACACCAAACATGAGCTTACGATCAATCTTATTGTTTGGCTTCTGAGCATCACCTCGAGCACTATACTCGAAACACATAGAAAGCCATCTCAACAATCTCGGAACCAAAAACAAATCCACATCACTACCTACCATCCACGGCTCCTTGCTCTCACGTTGTTTGCATACGACACAAAGATGTCACGGCGTCAAGTATTTAAGCGCAGATTTAAGCACACTGCAACAAGAGTTTTGCTGCGAGAGGGCAAAGGGATGTGTATAAGGGAACGCAGGAGGTGAAGCTGTAAGGATTGCTTGAAACCCTGGACAGAATGAATAGAACATTGATGGGTTGTATAATCCAAGGGACTAGAATGACCCTACTAGCAAACAATGGTGTACCAAAGACAAACATCCAAATTAAGTATAAATGAAGATAAACTATAATAGTTTAGGTAAATGTGAATATCAAATCACGACTAGATTCTTGACTGAACTAGTTCTAAAAATAAACCAGATTGTGTGATGTATAGTAACTGATAAAACCAATGAAGGTACGGGAATTTCTGCAAAAAAGGGAAAGTAACGCGCTTTCTCACCTTAGACTACAACACCAACTGCTAGAACAATCCTTCACTTGTTGCTGAAGTTTAACAACACCAGTATTTGTAGCAATCCAATATTTCACAGTTCATCATTGCTTCTCTCATAAGTTGGTTGGGTAATCCAAGGTACGAAGGGACAATTTATTACTTCAATTGTTGCCAAAAAGTTTCGTTCTAACTCTAATTTGACTGATTCTGAGGTCGTCCAAAAGCAAAGATGGTGAAGCTCCAGCACGACGATTTCCACCTCAAAATCCAAAATTCAACAATGAATGCAAGAGACTAGTTCAAGCAAATCCGAAGTGACCCAATAATGAACCTACTAACAAACAATGGTATACCTTACTGTGTTCATCACTACACGTACACAGGGCTTAACAATATCTACTCAACATTGGTATCAAAAGTAAGATAAAAAAAAAAACAAAGGATTCGCCTGCTTCAATGACCAACAACATGAAATAGAAGATGGTGAGATAGAAGCGGAAAAAAACACAAGAAGAAAGTATAAAACAGAAAAAACTAGTATCCAAGATCGTCTTTCCTCATTCTTCTGTCAATCACATGCTTGCCCAGGATGACGTTATCTGATAAGTGTCGTTCCAAACTGGACTTGTTGTCGATGGAGAAAGACGTGGTCTTCTAAAACGTGTTACAAGTGAATGGAAGCTTCTACTCGTTGGTTGGTTTGGACAACCGCAGTTATGTTTCAAGTGTTCCTCTTCAAAGGTGAAAGTACTATTTTTTGCTACTTATTTTGGATATTCGTGATACTTTGCTCTTACGAAAGAGATTCTTGCAGTCGATCCTGTGTCATCTTTCTTGTTGTGATTGTTCGGTGACACTGGAGAAATTTCTTATCTCGAGGAAGCTGGTGTGTTGACTCTGATAATAAGTCCGGTGAAGCTCGTCAGGTAGTTATCAAATCTGAGTACGATGTTCTTTTGACAGTTCAATCAAGAACATTGCAAGTGTAATGTAATCTCCGACTAAAGTTCAGTATTACTTGCAGTGGAAGAGCCCTAGGTCAGATCTTCTGTTGAGAACACTGAGTCATTCAAGATATATGACACAAACAGATTGAGCACATTTAGTCTTCCAAGACATATGACACAGAGAGATTGCAATTGTGAGTCAAAGAAAGCTCAATCCTCAAAATGGACTAAGAATATTCGTAGATGAACAAGTTTGAAGATGATCTCACCATATTCTAGGTTATAGAAGTCTTCCGTCCTATACATCATTCAGATCCGCTTCTACCTCGCAATCTGATTGCGCACAAGTCTAGCTAGGATACAATTGTGATATGCTATTCAATGCCCCGTCATCTTCTTGCCAATCCTCATCCCTGAAGCGGGAATCACAAAATTAACAAGCAGAAAAACAAATACTGAGTACACATCACGCAAGAATGCCAGACAGCCCAAGTCAATAGCAAAAGATTCGGACTTCCGCTAGATTAACATCATAACTTACAGTATCTACAATATTCAATCTTCTTAAAAAATCCAAAACCTCTTGATTATTCACGTGCTTGCATAGGGTACACCAAACATGAGCTTACACTCAACCCTATTGTCTGGCATCTGGGCATCACCTCGAGCACCATACTCGAAACATAGAAAGCCATGACGATCTCGGAACCAAAAAAAAAGAAAAAACCACATGATTACCTGCCATCCGTGGCTCCTCGCTCTCACGTTGTTTGCATGTGGCACAAAGATGTCACGTTGTCTACATGCGTCATATATATAAGCGTAGATTCGAGTAACTCGAAGTGATGGGAAGGTACACGACAGGGTTTTGTAGCGAGAGGGCGAAGGGAAGTGATTAAGGGGTCGACGGGGGTCGGGATCTGTGATGCGCTTGAAACCCTGGACGACTCGGATGAAAAGAACACTGATGGGTTGTATCATCTAAGAAATAATAATGATCCTACTAACAAATAATGGTGTATCCAATTGCATTGAGCAGTACACACACGCATAGACAAGGCTCACAATATCTACTCAACATTGGTTTCAGGAGTAAGATATATAAAAAAAAAAAAAAAAAAAAAAAAAAAAAGGATTCGATTGGCTTGGATGACCAATTGCAAGTGATAGAAGCTGGTTACAAAGGAAGCAGAAAACAACATAAGAAGAAATAAAGACAGAAAAACTAACAAACAAACAAAATAGTATCCTGGATCGCCTTATCTCAAACGATTTGAGAGACTTGATATAGTATCATTGGATGTTGACTTGGAACACTGTTTTTATTGCTGAGGCTTAACTATTTGCAGAGTATAAATGCGTTGTTTTGCCATCATTATCCTCTATTGTATATGTTTCCACTTTGATATTGCTTCGATAATACTTAGGATGTCATGCTACACTGTAATAAGTTGGAAAAAAGAAATGAACAGGGACAAGCGTTCTGGTGATTCAAAGTTAGTCGAATGAATTAGGCAAAATGTAATCTTAGTATGAACAAATTTTCATTTCTTTTACCATTTTTTTTATATGGTAACAACCACTTTTTATTTATGGAGAAAATAAAAAAAGAGGTGCCATTATTTGCACCTTCTACAACACAAATTGGGTTACTGACAATACCAAAATAAGCCAATACGTACATCAATGAGAGTACTTGTGTGACTGAGTCAAGTATTCAATGTTTTACTCATCTAACTAGAAAAATTTCTCACTAAGTAGAATCTTCGATACCGCTTTATACTTACGATCTTGTATCCACTGATTGTCTTGTTAGATTAATCCAATAAATTTCATTCACTCCGCATACTCAATCCTATAGACATCCTTTTAATTCTTCAATCACAGACGTAACTCGATTTCACAAAACAGTCAAGAGTAATCAAACCCACTTCATTAAAAATCTCGATTCACCATTACAACACTGACTTCAGCAACGATTGCCTCAGTCTTCCCAAAACCCTATGAAGAAAAAAAACCCAATTCTCTGTCTTTTTTCCCCGCCCCAAGCATGAAGCTAGCTCTCTGATCCTTCAAAAAAAACTCTCCAAAAACTATTCTCTCCCCTAACCTTATCCTCTGAATTTCTTCAATCTTCCGTCTTAGATCCGGAATTGGCTCCCACCTTCACAGCTTGGATCCAAAATTTGCTCTCGCCATTAGAGCTTTCCCCCCCTATTTTTACCTTTAAGAGGTCCTTTTATCGAAAACAACGTTCTATGAAACGGCACAGAGAACAGGACAGCCTGAAACAGAATCGAAACCCCGTAATCGGAACCGCATTGAGTCGTCCAACCAATTTAAGTCTCATATTGGCTAAGAGTCCAGTAGTAAGACCCGAGTGTTCCCAAAATTGGATCAAATTGGTCCTTCATGTCAGATTGGCTGAGGCCCGTAGTAAGACCTGGATTTTTCCGTAATTAGACTACATTGGGTTGCCCGACCAATTCAGGTCTCATATTGGGTAAGAGGACCCGGATTGGATTCTTGAAATTTGATCCAATTGGCTCTTCGAACCAAGCTCACCCGTAGTGTGAATTGGTCCTTTCCCTTCCTGCTGAATTCCGTTATTGGAATCGAATGGGGCATTTCAGTATGCCCCGGCTGACTGTAACGGGGTGACTGAACTTGGCCACTCAGTATTTGCATTGGAGTTGGTCATTGCTCCCAATATTCGAGGTAACTGAACATTAATAAAAATCCCCTTTCTTTATATTTTCACGGTATACTCGTGTTACAACACGACATCCATCCCCTCTGAATATGTGCATCCTCCGATATGCACCAATTTACCCAATTGCTGTTTGATTCAAAATATATCCTTTACGTCTTTGTCCAGTTCGTCTTCGTCACCTTCATTATCTAAATCACTTTCATCTTCTTGCTGCAAAATCTCTACACCTTCATTGAGGTCTTCCATATTCAACTCCACGTTGTCATATTACGTGCTTTCCTGCTCGAGAACGTGCCGGGCGTCTGGCTGTAGAAGGTAGTATAGAGATTCACCGATAGTCAAGCAGTCTATCAGTTTTGACTGTTGGAATATAAACGACTGCAATAATGTACCGTAAATCTATATGGATGCTCTTCGACTGCTTGTCGAAGTCCTTTTTGCCCCAGCCGGTAGGTCTCTAGACGTTACAGAGAACCCTGAACAATCCAAACTGTTAATCTTCAATACCGCTTTGTACTTACGATCTTGTATCCACTGACTGTCTTGTTAGATTAACCCAATAAATTTCATTCACTCCGCATACTCAATCCTATAGATACCCTTTTAATCTTTCAATCATAGAAGTGACTCGATTTCACAAAACAGTCAAGAGTATTCAAACCCACTTCATTAAAAATCTCGATTCACCATTATAATACTGACTTCAGCAACGATTGCCTCAGTCTTCCCAAAACTCTACGAAGAAGAAAAATCCAAATTCTATGTCTTTCCTTCACTGACCCAAAGCATGAAGCTCCTCTCCCTAATCTCCTTGATCTTCAAAAACCTCCAATGAAAACCGAACTAGTAACCTTGCAAAAGCTTGAAAACTAGCTCCCCCCGATTCCCCGAAAAAAAAAAAAAAAAAAAACCCCAAAAAAAACTCTCTCTCCTAACCTTATCCTTTGAATTTCTTCAATCTTCCGTCTTGGATCCGGAATTGGCTCTCGCCATCAAGGCTTAGATCCGAAATTGGCTTTCGCCGTCAGAGCTTTTCTCCCCCCGTTTATACCTTTAAGAGATCCTTTTACCGAAAACAACGTTCCCTGAAACGGCACAAAGAATAGGACAGCCCGAAACAGAATCGAAACCCCGTAATCGGGACCACATTGAGTCGCCCGACCAATTCAGGTCCCATATTGAGTGAGATGCCCGTAATAACCTGAATGTTCCCGTAATTGGGTCTGCATTGGGTTGCCCGGCCAATTCAGGTCTCATATTGGGTAAGAGGACCCGGATTGGATTCTCGAAATTGGATCCAATTGGTTCTTCAAACCCGTCGTGTGAATTGGTCCTTCTCTTCCTGCTGACTCCCGTTATTGAAATTGAATGGAGCATTTCAGTATGCCTCGAATGACTGTAACGGGGTGACTGAACCTAGCCACTCAGTATTTGTACAAGAGTTGGTCGATGCTCCCAATATTCGAGGTAACTGAATATTAATAAAATTCCCCTTTCTTTTTATTTTCACTGTATACTCGTGTTACAACACGACATCCACCCCCTCTGAACCTGTGCATCCTCCGGTATGCACCAATTTACCCAATTACTGTTTGATTCAGAATATATCCTTTACGTCTTTGTCCAGTTCGTCTTCGTCACCTTCATTATCCAAATCACTTTCATCTTCTTGCTGCGGAATCTCTATACCTTCATTAAGGTCTTCCATATTCATCTCTGTATGTCTTCGTTTAAATATTTTTACTCGCTTCCCTGCAATTGGTATTTTCAATTTTGTACCATCTAACTCCCGTAATGAGTAAGTCGCATTATCATGAACAGTTGTTACCACATATGGTTCAAACTAACGTTTTGAGAATTTCTGTAAAGTACTATGTTGATTATCTAGACTATTGTCATAAACAAGTACCCAGATACCTTCCTCGATTGCTTTTGGTCTCAATTGATGTTGCTTATCGAATCGCGCCTTGTTTTGTAACCTTGCTCTTTTTAACCTTCCCAATGCTATTTGCACATCTTCCGTTCTTTGCTCCAATTGTCGAATCCTAATAGCCACAAGTTCTTCTCTTGTCAATCCATCTTCCCATGGTAGCATACTCCAAGTAAGTACCTTTTCTTCAATTGGCATAATTGGTTTTTGACCTGTCATAAGTTCTACTGGCATATATCCTGTCACCGAGCTATGTGTTGTTCGATCAATCCATGATGCAAATAACAAAAGCCGTGGCCACTCTTTAACTTTCCCATTACAAGCTTTAACCAATGCTTTCACAATCGGTGGGTGACCACGTTCACTTTTTGCATTCCCTTCTGGATTATAAGCAGTAGTCAGTGATAGTTTAACTCCACATCTTTCAAAGAACTTACGAGCTTCTTGTACATTTAATTCTCCACGATCTGCAGTGATTTTTCCTATGCACCCGTAACGGCAAATGACATCTTCAAGCAAAAACCTACAAATCTCCTCTGTAGATTTTGTCCTCAATGCTCTTCCTTCTACTTGATTTGATAAATCTTCACGAGCTAAAATCAAATATCTCATCTGCCATAACCCAACCGGCATTATAACCAAATCAACAACCCATTTAAAATAAATAGCCAGAGGATACGTAGGATGAAGACCATCTCGATGTCGGATATTAGAATACGATTGACAGATTTCACATGACTCTACAAATGAGAGCACATCTCGATACATATTTTTTCACCAATATCGTTCTTTGAGTTTAGCAAAAGTAGCTCAGATTCCTCTATGCCCTGCCCATAAACTATCATGAAACTCCTTTAATAATTTTAGTTTTTCTTCCCTTTTGCCTATCACTCGTTGTGGCATCTCAATTCCTTTCTTTAGTCTCTTCCATAAGAATCCATCTCGAAGTAAAAATCCATATGCTTTTTTTCTTATTTGTTTGAATTTTTCTGTAGACCAATTTCCCTGCTTAGTCAAGGTATTCAAATAATGACCAATATCTAATAATTCTCCTTCATAAGATTCTTCAAGAAATAGCTTGTCTTCTCTGTTGAGATTTGATATTGAATAGAATTTCAATCCGACATCATCAATGTCTTCAACCATTTCGTCCTCCCTCTCGTATCTTGCTCGAGATAGCATGTCTGCTACTAAATTGTCCTTCCTAGTGATATGCTTAAATTCTGGATTTAGTGACTTAATATAAGCAATCCATCTCAACATTGCAATATCTGGCGTTGAACAGTTAATAATCATTCTAAGCAATGGCAAGC